AGAGGGTGGTGGAGCACTGGAACAGGCTCCCCAGGGAGGTGCTCATGGCACCAAGCCTGACAAGATTCCAGCAGCATTTGGCCAAGGCCCTCAGGGACATGGTGTGAATGTTGGGATTGTCCTGTGCAGGGACAGGAGCTGGACTGGATGGTCCGTGTGGGTCCCACTCACAACACCCCATGATTCTGTGATTCTACATTGCTGGGAAATCAAAAGACTTTCCAACTTCTTGTGTTTTTCTAGTTTGCAGGTGAAGAAGCAGCTTGGAGCAGGGAGTGTAAGAAAATGAGCAAACACAGGCTGGCATTTGACTCTGCCAGTGGGATGTTCTGTGTCAGATAATGTCGTGTCCAGTGCATTAGTGGGGGCTGGTCGGGAAGAGGAGCTCGCTCTTCTCCTGGATTGCAGGTTCAGGGTTTTCCCTCCTCCAGGATCGCTGTCAGTGGTGAGCAGTTGTACTGAACATCACTCATTTGTTTATTCTCTTATTATTATCATCTTTATTTCATTCCAATTATTAAATCATTCTTATCTGAACCTACGTGTCTCCTCACCTTTCCCCCTCCAATTCTCTCCCCTATTCACTCATCACAGGGGAAGAGCGAGTGGCTGCATGGTGCCTGTCTGCCAGCCGGGTTAAACTACAACAGTGACTCAAAGGTGCTTTTTCTAATTCAACATTACAAGAGATTTCTCTTGGTTTTTTTGTGTTTTGGGGTTTTTTTAGATTAAATTACTTTGCAGACCCAAGTGTCCTTGTGTAACACAGCCCCTGCTCAACAAGTCTGGTGCATATTTACACTGAGGCAAAACAAGCTGAGGAACTGTCAGTGCTCAGACAAATCCCTGTGACTCTGGGTAAATTGACAGATACAATGAGTATTTAGTTGTCCAGAGCCTGAAAATAAATTGTTATATGAAAATAGGTTTAAAAAATCAGAAAAGCAATGGCCTTCAGCAAGCTCGCTTTGGCCATGTCAATTTTTCTCTCTTGTATTCTGAGAATAACAGAGAAAACGGAGCCCAAGTTAGGATGCCTGATACTTTATTAGTTGTTTATGCTTCTTTATAAATACCTGCAATATCAGAAATGTCACCACTAGACTGAAGTAGTAAGTTACTCAAACACATTCTGAAAACAGCACACAGACCCAAACGGCATCTCCTGTCAGCTTTACTCCCACGAGTACATTTTGTTTTCCTACCTTTAAGTACTGATATTTGTGGAATAATAATTTGTTAACATAAGAGGCAAACTCCTCTTTTTTTTTTTGCTTATGGTTGTCCCTCGGGTGCTTTCCCTCCCTGAAGACACCGTGTTGCTCCCTCTGCTCTAACTGATCCCCTGTTACTCAGCAGGGTCAGGAGGGGGCTGTGGGAAGGGCAACGTTACTCAGCATTTCCCAGCATCAGTCCCTGCTTCACAGGCTCTGGGTGTGCTGAGCACTTAAAAAGTGTTTAAGTAAGTATTTTATGTTAAAGAATATAAAATAGTGTTGTTTGAAGACCTGGATTAGTAAAAAAACATGCTTAAAGTTAGAGCTCTGGCCCCAGTGGGGACCTGTCACGGAGTCTGAAGGACAGAGAGTGTCACCCTCAGCGTCGGAGGAACAGCAGAGCTCAGCACGCTGCAAGGATCAGCCCCTCTGTTAAAAAAGGAGGGAAAACAGCTGCCCCTCCTGCAAAATGCAAAGAAAACACAAATAATTTCCCCTTGCCAAAGCATTCTCCCAGGTTATCAGCATTTGCTTTCTCCAAAGTAAAACCTTGCTGCACATCTGCTTCCCCGTTGAAGGTTTGACCGTTAGTGTTAAAAAAAAAAGCACATTTCTGGTCAAGACCAAATATATTTCCAATTAAAAACCTTCTTTGAACATCTGATCTCTCCTCTGTCTTCAGCTTTGCCAGCATCCTAAACATAAATGAGCTTCATGCGGTATGGATCAGCCCTTACACGTAGTCTTTATGATTTCTGCTTGTGCTGTAAGGAAATATTAAAGTCATTGTGTTACATTTGCCTCCCTGCTGCTGCGGTGACAGCTCTGACCTGCCGACCCTGTGCCCAGCTGGGTGCCTGCAACGGCAACTTTCCAATTTTAATTATTATTTGCAGCCCCTCCTTTATCAATTACTGGGTTGTACATCCCAGTACAGTCCTGGGGAAGGACTTTTCATAAGGGCAGTTAATGACAGAACAAGGGGAAATGGGTTTAAGCTGAAAGAGGGGAGGTTTAGATGAGATATTAGGAAGAAGTTCTTCACTGTGAGGGTGGTCAGACACTGGAACAGGTTGCCCAAGGAAGTTGTGGCTGCTCCTCCCTGGAAGTGTTCTCAGCCAGGTTGGATGAGGCTTTGAGCAACCTGATCTAGTGGAAGGTGTCCCTGCTGATGGCAGGGGGGTTGGGACTGGATGAGCTTTAAGGTCCCTTCCAACCCAAACCAGTCTGGGATTCTATGATCCCCATATCCTGGAAAAACAAACCTCAGGTATAAATTTGGTTCTTTTCCAGTTGATTTTGATTTTTTTTTTTGCCTGAACATGTGTGTATGGCTCCAACAGCGAGGGGTGCAGGTCACAGTCACTGCCTCGGGGTTAGCAAACCTCGCGCTGGATCGCACCGGCTGGGACTGTGGAGCAGCCGCCCGGCTTTCTGTAATCCCCCACGTCTCATATGGCTTTTCCTGTCTGATTACTTCTTCTGTATTAAAATCTGCAAATGCTGATCCTGTGGCTTGGTTAATAACTGCCTAAAAATATCACATTTCAAGAAGTTTGTCAGCTGATTTCATTCACCTTAAAAAAAAACCAAACCAAACCCCAAACAAACCCCCCAAAAACAACCAAACAAAAGATGTATAAACTCATTGTCCTCACTCAGGAAACAGCAGCACCGTTATGTGTTAGGAAGAGTCGCATTGTTCTTCCTTAAAATCATCACCTGGAACGCCAGCACTGGAGCCAGACCAGCATTCCCAGTTCATGACAATCCAACCACCATCACGTATCCACAGCAAGGACAGAACGTGGGAACAAACGGAACCGGAGTGGCACAAAAGCACAGATCAAGCAGAGGTTGTCTATGGTCTAGAGATAATAAAGGAACTGCTGGCAAAACCACTTTCTCCTCCGGGTAGGATCGAGCAGCTGGGTTCAAAGGCTCCTACAAACCCTACAGCTGGGGCTTGTGGTAGCGATGGAGGTGTGAGGTCGATGGTCAGCGAGAAGCCAGACACACCCTCTCCCCGTGGCAAAGAAACACTTTAGGACTATTTACAGGAACTTACAAATCTCTGTCATGAAGACAACTCACTGCCTCGGTAGGGAAGGTGAAAGAAATCCTTTTTCTGCTCTTTGCTCCTTGTTTTTAAGCCACTTGGGATTTTTTTTCCAGCCACAGTGGCCCAAACTGTTAATTTGTCAGAAGATTGAGTCGCCAGCCTTGTTTCCTCCGTCGGGTCCGTACAGACACACGCTCACAGGACTGTGCTGGCAACGGGACACTGAGGACGCTCCACGCGACAGACCACGGGCTCCCAACACACACCTACACTCGGGGGCACTCCTGTCCCCCCCGGCTCCCCTCGCCTGTCCCCGTGCCAGCTCCAAGGGTCAGTGGGATATCGGTTGTTGAAGCCGTGGTGAGCCGGCGGCCGTGCCGAGCGCGTTAGCTCTTACAGCCGGCGCCGCTCACGGGAACCTTGGACACGGTGGGACAGTCGCTTCGGAACGCGTCGAGGTTCTCGGTGGTGGTGGTGGTGGCTTCGGGGCTGGCGGTCCCTGTCTCCTGGGAATGGCAATTTCCTCGGGGACC